GTGAGGGCTCATGATGGATCTGTGATTTGAAGAAATCGCGTGAAATCTCTCTCAACAAACAATCTGAGATCCTCAGACAGACTTGTTCCTTTTTTACCAATCTTTGGGCACAGCATCAATGTACAGGCTGACAGGCCCCTGGCTGGTGCAGACCGTAGAGCCCAAAGGACCCGCGTGGCAGTACGTGGGGACATCTCTGTAGCCAGAGGCGCCGCTTCTGAACTCCAAGTCAGTGGATGATATAGAAGAAGATGAAATGAACCAGGGAAACTTACGCAACACCCCAGCGATGATAAATGCGAACACCCCAGGTGTCATAGACCCCCTTTACAAGGGCAAAGCTGTATTTGCTACTGCCGCAAGCATATTTTTCTCCAAGAAGAACCTCCCCGGTAAGCCCGCAATAGAGATTATCGGCATCATGAGCGGTGATGTGAAGGCCGACGCTGTCTACCGCTCCATCGGGCTGGTGTCGGGTAGAGAAGTCGAGGATCAAGACATCCTCCACCGGAGGGAAACCAGCCTGGGGAGCCGGGGTAGCCACAGCGACTGACGCGAGAGCGATGAGCGTAAGAGTTGCGAAGCGCATTGTGTCCTAGCTCCGTGTTAGTAGCTTTCGCGCTAAGTAATGTCGTTTGAACTAGGATTACACCTACAGAGCTTCGAATAAATTGTGGGAAGTTGCGGAAGTAGTGAATGACAATGGTGTGATGTTTAGGATGAGTTGAGTGACGGGGAAATCAAGTCATTAAATATTCCCTCCGAACACTTCATCAGCCTAGTCATGGATCATTATGCTCTTAAAAGGGAGACATCACAAGGGTAGAGACCCTCAACTGCAGTGACCGAATCTGCGATCAAAGACATGCAATTGCGGGCCTCGTTTTACGAGATGTTACATTCCGAGCCTCCTCGTAGCCACAAGCACGCATCACAAGACCAGTGATAGTGAATCTGCACACCAAGGGAGAACGCAGGAAGCGGACTTCCATTGTGATGTGCCGCCTCGTATTGGGGCTTCCGCCACACTTCACAAATCTGTTAATAGTATGAGCACTCCGGAACACCCGAAATATTCAGGATCCTATGTGAGACGAGCCAAACAGAAGACGCGTGAAGGCTTGTCATAGCTAAGCGACGCTGACGACCCGTAGCTACAATTTCAGATCTCAAACCCCAAGGTACTAGACTCCAAGTCTCTCTAGCTGTTACGGTGTTTTACGCAACCACGCCATGTCATATTTGTAAACATCAGGTCACAAAAGAAAGTAGTCGAAACAAAATTTCAAGCTTCCACATCTCCATGAGATGGATTATCGAAGATCGGGTAACGAAGCATTGCGAATACGAGCCCTATCCCCGGTTCTGGACTTACCTAGTCTGGTTGCATCAACTGGGCCACAAACTGCTGTTGCTTACTCAGGACCACCTCAACGAAATGCAGCTTCGATAAATCTGGCAAGGCAGAGTCACACTAACTGCAAAATGAGCATATACACGCTACGTAGCATCGTTGGTGATGACTAGGAATGCTTCAAATCGAGGATCTTGCAGGTAAGACAAATAAGTCATCGTACACGACTGCTTGGCTTGCGACAATCACTGGATGATGTAACCGAGCGAATCCTTTCAGATCATGCCACGCTTTGCTCACGCCTATCAATCATGCAAATACACGAAACATTTCAGGCCATTGCATTCATCGTGTACTTATCTCTAAGGCTGGTTCAATTAACATGATAGTTCCTAATTAGGGAACACATCCGAATTTATGGCCCTAGCCAAAGAGAAAAGCTGGGTTTTCAGTCTCCAATCTTGAGTATATATTTCCGAGAGTAGTTATACTTTTGATGCGTCAAGTAAAATAAGCAGCTAGCTTCAGATTTGAAGCCCGGCAATACTCTTAGAGAACTGGACCATACTTGGAGAGCGTTAATTCCGATAAACCTTGAACGAAACCTATCTCTGTGATTCTTCACCAATATCTTTCCGAAGTTGCTCCCTCATTTCTCATTCGCAAATGAAATGGCCTAGGACGCTAGTCTGCGAATAGGATTGAATTGTCTCTGGTTGTAGCGAGATACCATCATCATTACATAGACCTGATCAAGTTGCTGTTCTGATCTCGGAGCAATGCGTATTGTTCACGACCTTTAATTGCACATGGAGATGCTTTTGCTGCTTATGGCAGCAACCCACTGTGGATGTTGCTGTTGTGAACGTGCGGAGGGCGAATGGGGGCGTAGCTTATCGGACAGGCACAACACAGACTTGAACATAGCCCTCACGGGAAGGGACTAAAGTCGCACATGGCACACAACATCGAGATTGGGGGAAGATGAATTCCATGTCGGGCACACTTGCCGCTTTTTACGCCTTATCGGACCTGGCTGGCCTGCGGGGCCCGGGTTCTCCTGCCCACCTAGCTAGGTCTGCTCCGGCCCACTTTACTGAGGTATCCCAAAGGGATTGAAAGTGAACGACCACAACGCTGTTTCCGACAATTAAGGTAGTCCAACATCGGCTTCTCTTGCGCTTGTTGATTCACGCCCAAAACTGATAGGCGAATTCCGGCTGCAATCTAACAAGATCGCAAAGCTGTTTCGTAGGATATTTGCCCATATTTCACCTAAAGTATGGGTGAATTCAGATACTGACCTGCGACTCTGACATAGCCCCTTGTGTGGGCATTTGACTCGGCTTTACTTAACAAAATAGAAAACATGGCTATGAAGATCCAGATATCACCTCGATAATGTGTACAGAGAAACAGTATATAATAGCTCGACGTTCCCAGTCGAACTTATTTCCTTTCACCTCATCCAAATCGGTCAGACTAGATCAGCCTCCAAGCCAGCCCGAACTTCTCAATACTGGCGTGTATCCCAAGCCTAGCTTATACTATTAATCATGGACGACAAAGGTGCTACACTCGACATGTCTCTGTTCTTTGGAACAGAGGAGCAGAAACGACGGTTTTGCAACGAGCTACTTCGGTTGCTCAAGTCGCGAGGCGGCGTCAAGATTCAAAATCACGGTATACCAGCAGAGGACATACACAAACTATTTGATATGGTAGGCTCGAAGTAATATGGAGTAGATGACATGAAGGCTGACCGTCACAATAGAGTCGAAAATTCTTTGCTTTGCCCCATGAGGAAAAGATGAAAGCCAAGCACCCGCCTCAAGCCAATCCGAACAGAGGATATAGCTTTGTTGGTCAAGAGAATGTTGCAAATATCAGTGGCTACGAGAAGGGCTTAGGGCCAGGCAAGACTCGCGATATAAAGGTAATCCATACTGCCAGACAGGAGACGCCATATGCTCAATTGACTAACATAGTTGCTAAGGAGACTCTGGACATGGGCAGTTCGCACGACGATCTTGTAGACAATCTTTGGGTACCTGAAGAGAGCCTTCCTGGACTCCGAAAGTTCATGGAATACTTCTATGAGAAGGCGTACAAAACCGAATTGCATCTTCTGTCCGCTCTTGCGATTGCTCTCGGTGTTTCGGAAGACTACCTCAGGGCACTTCATAATCGTGCGGAGAACGAGTTTCGTCTTCTTCATTATCCGGCGATTCCCGCCATGGAGCTTGCGGACGGTACAGCGACGCGCATTGCCGAGCACACCGACTTTGGAACGATCACCATGCTGTTTCAAGACTCCGTGGGAGGTCTTCAAGTGGAGGACCAGAACGAACCTGGCGTATTCCGGAGCGTGGAATCCTTGGCACCCACCGACATCATCCTCAACATTGGCGACTCTCTTCAACGCCTGACTAATGACACATTCCGTGCTGCTTGCCATCGTGTCACGTATCCACCGGCAATTAAAGCTGGCGACAATATTGAGATCCCCGAACGATACTCCATTGCGTATTTCGTCAAGCCGAATCGCCTTGCATCCCTGCTTCCCATCAAGGAGTTTGTCACCGAAGCTACCCCATGCCATTATGATGATGTTACTTCATGGGAGTGGAACAACAGGAGAATTGCGAAGCTATTTGGCTAGCTCATATCGCAGCGATGGTTGTTTGGACGATTATAGGCTCTGCTTGGGAAACAGAGCAAAGCTGCCGAGATCTCAAGGATGCGGCCCTCTCGGGTGTGTGGAGCTGGTTTAACCCAATCCAGCGATAGCTTCGGGGTCACTTTCCACTTTAGCCTAGACCCTACGGGAGAGTTACAAACAATCTGGCCTATGTCCTCTTGTTCCATGTAACTACTGTATAATCAAGATTGTCAAAATCTCACAGGTAAAGTAGCTGAACGTTAGTCCCGATTTTGTACGAAATGAGAAAATGATCACAATGGTCCACGATCGTCTCTCGCATTTCATCGATCAATCTTATTATCTTGACCAGCAGTGCAATTGCGATTGGGGCAGCAACTAACGAAAAGCATCGTACTTGTTGCCAGTCGCTCCCGCGGAAGCTTGCTGATATTACGCATGTTACGGACCTATTAGCCGGTAACATAAGGTATAAAATAGATAACCTAATGCCCCGGAATCCATGCTGCCCGTGTGTGCCCTATAAACGCCGGAGGATATCGACAAATTAACATTTCCTTATTGCCGTTCCAACCTTTGCTATCTGCTTTCTGACGAACAGCCGCTCGCGGTTCATCCTCTAGAGGTCGACGGCATAACCTGGTTCGTATAATATTGATCGCATCATGCACACGTCGAGATCCAGGAGCGCACATTCTTTTGAAGGATGCAAGACATGCAGGAAACGTCACCTGAAATGCGACCAGACTACACCAAGGTGTAAACGATGTTGCATCTCAGGCTTAAAGTGCGATTTCAAAGCGGTCCTTCGCTGGGTTTTAGTAAACGGTCCAGATGACTTAAGCACGGCGGTTCCTCCTGCAAACGAAGCTACGCAGTATTCTCGGCGTTACCTATATTCTGGTGAGTCTGAGGGCTGTTATGATCTCAACATGGATATTGTGAAGCTGACTAGGAAGGAGAACAGATGATTTGAGAAAGGTGATGAGTATTTCTCTCGTTGCGAGCTTGCCTTCTACTGTCAACGAAGCCATTTCCAAAATCGAGAACGAGGCCAAATCAGTGGAATCTAGGGAGGAAATGGAGATTGCCATTGGTCCTTTCAATGTGTTTCACGGAGTATATCAAGTTCCAGACGGAGAGTCTGAAGTCGGTCTGGGTGCGAAGACAAGCATCCCAGTGGTGGAGGAACGCGCTGTCGACAAATGCGACAACCTGTCTTTTCCGGAAGGCACCGTCTCACCATCGAACCTGGGCAAGTCTATGCGAGCCACTGATTTCGCAACGGCCGATGTCGCCGGAAGCTGCGATCTCATTCTGAATGAACTCACCGTGTCTGACCCTCTTGACGAGCTTCTCTCGAGCTCTCTAGAAGTCCTTCAATGGGGGGACTTGTTCACCTGGAATGCCGAAGTGAACCATTCTCCCCTTCCGGGCTACTCCATTGACGAAGTTTCATGTTCCAACCATGGACCACACACTATCCTAGATGATTGGACAATCGGTGAAACGATCAACCAGCAGATGACGGAAACTCGAGGGTTCAGCAGGGTACGGCCTAGTGTCTTTCCAGAGCTGAACGATGATCTAGTTGCGGATGCTCCGATACTTTTGAAACACTTTTACGATGAAGTCATAAACCAAATGGGCTCGCTACCGATCAACGAGAAGTCTGCATGGAGGATTTTGAATTTTCCTTCTGCCATCGTCACACTCAGCCAGCTTACTATTCTTAAAATACCCAGTCACGGTATTCGACACGCCAACTTGTCGAACCTTTACGCCCTCATCGCGGTATCCGCATTCCATCTTTCACTCAATTCAAAGAGCTTCCCAGAGATGGAGAAGCCCGAAGGGTACTGGAAACGTCTATCTGAGAGGACATATGATTGTGCCAAGTTCCACCTGAAGCTCAGCTTGGAGGAGGAGTCTGCCGCCCCAAAGAAAGCCAAGTACAAAGAACAACTGATGGCCGCCGCAGCTATTCTTGCAACCGCCGTAAGTGTTCTCTATTTATTCGATCTTCTGCTAACTCCGTTTAGTTATTATCTGGTAACGAACAAGATACATGTCGATATCTTGTAGAAATGGAGAGGCTAATCCGTACTCGCGGGTTGCGAAAGTCAAAGCTATCACGTCGAGCACGACTGTTACACAACATTTACGCCTGGATGAGGATAGTCTCGGAAAGCACTAAAACTTTCCACGATGAAGCGCCAGTACTCGATCTAATTGGCATCAACGATGGTTGGGTCACTGCTCAAGACCATGTTCCTGCGCACGATCAGTCTCAAGCTGGAATAGCGTCGTTCAGGCCAGCTATTTCAAGTGCAGAGCAACTGAGAAAGGTTTACCCAGAAATTACCCTGGATAACTTCCTCCACTTGGAACCACTCCAGCTTCATCCCGACACCACTTTCCACAATATCATCAATGATGACATGACGGATACCAACAAAGACATACATCTAGCAACTGCAATACAGGATCAGGAAGACATGTATATGCAGATATACGGAGTGCCTGAAACCTGGCTGAGACTTGTGTCCCAGATTACACGACTAGCTAATGTTATGGACCAACTTGCGCCAAATGAAAGCCAACTTGACGCCATCAAGATGGCAGCACTACAACCAAAGGCGTCCTATCTAGAAGAAGCTGTGTGTGCCTTCAAAGCAAGATACCACGGACAGTACGAGCAAGATTTGAATACCGAGAAGCCTCACGTACATATGGTGCGGGCATTATGCCCGGCCTTGATGATTTTTTTCTATCGCAGGATCCGGAACATCAATCCTATGCTGCTTCAAGAAAGTGTCGATGAGGTGATGGAGGCGTTGGAAGGATTTGATAATGCTTTGAGTCGAAATGAGTTGCTCGGGCCAGGCACAGCTTGGCCAGCTTTCATTGCTGGTGCGGAAGCGACGAAACCAGAGAGGAGGGCGCAGTTCAGCTCTTGGCTAAACAAAGCCTACACTAAGTCAGGATGGAAAGGCTATTGTGTGTCGAGTGAAGTTTTGTGTGAGGTTTGGAGGCACCAGGATGCGGATGCAAAGACGTTACGGAGCTCAACGTGGGTAGACGTTTGCAGGGTGAACCGTCGCTGGCCGCTATTATGTTGAACCAATGTGATAAATCGGCGACTATGGATGCATTGCCTAGAAGGAGAAAGATGGATACAATAAAATTGCCCACGGCCTAGCCAACGTGACGGCAATCCTTAAGAGATGTGCGAATAATCGAATGGTGTTGCATCAAATTAGGGTTATTTATTCAATAGTCCACTACGGATCCACCTTATCAATATACATGAGTGACGTATAGCATCCTCGTGAATCATGATCTAGATTCCCTTCACGTGCAGCTCACCAACGTTCCTGTTGAGGTCATCATCGTCGAGCTTCTTGGCGCTGGTATCGCCTCCGGTCAACTCGAATACTTTACGATGAGATGCGTTAGCAGGTGCAACTGTAGGCAAGCCATGAAGGGAGAATTTTGAAGTCTAAGTGAAATGAAAATATGAGAAAAGTTTGACCTACAATCAACGGGTGTGGTCGCGAATTGGCGAGCCGGAGTCCTCTTCTGGAACAAGTAGTCCAGCTCTGCGAATGTGCGGTTCTTCGTCTCAGGGAGGAAGAAGAAGATCAGTACAGCCCAAAGGCAGCAAAGTCCGAAGTAGAACAAGCCAGTCTTCGCACCCCAGTTCCAAGAGTCACTGCTGGAGTTGAGCATGCGAGGGTTGAGCTGCTGTACGACAATTTGGCCCACGACGTAGATAGCGCGTCCGAGAACGATGGTCTGAGCACGCACACGACTGGAGGACATTTCGCCCACAATGGTGTATGTTGTCGGGCCCAGCGACAGTTTGAACGTCAGGTTAACAATGATCATGACGACAGCCACAGCCAGAGCAACATTGGTCTTCCCTGGAATGAAGCCTAGGATGCCAATGACGAGCATGAGGAGACCGATGATTGAGGAACCCCAGAAGAAGAAGACGCGACGCCCGACTTTGCCCATTAGGGAAATGGCAATAGCGGTGCCCACAATATTGCCTGACTGGATACCCATGCTGAAGTCAAATGCTCGGACTTCTGGCATACCGGCTGATTGCAAGAAGATGGTAGCGTAGGCGCAGATGGCCTGGCCATTGAGAATCTGAATAAGCCAGGCCATGGCCACGATGCCTGTGCGGCGCAAGTTGGTTCCATGGAAACAGTCGCGGTAACTGGCGCCAGCTGACTCGATCTTTTCCATTTCGTTAGTGTGTCTCATGAGAGCCAATGTTTGAGCCATGGTCTGCTCAGTATAGAAGTTCTTGCGTGCAAGACGGCGTAGCGACTTCTCGGCTTCTTCGATGCGACCACGGCGAACGAGGTACCATGGGCTTTCTGGGGCAAAAAAGCCAACAGTGAATAGAGGCACCACCCAAACCCATTGGAGAGCGTAAGGGATCTTCCATGCCAAGTCTCCCTGAAGTCCCAGGGAACCACGGAGAACACCGGCGGCAAGGAAGGAGCCACATCCCCAACACATGGAAACCCATGCGGTGAGGTATCCTCGCATAGCAGCAGGGCAAATCTCGGCAGCGTATGCAGTAGTCAGGGTCTGAAAGATGCCCCAGGGAATGCCGCACAAGATGTTGGCGGCGAAAAGCATTTGGACGTTAACTGCGAAGAACAGTGAAAAGATTGTCCCGCCCATGAGTGCCATGGCACCCATGTAGACTCGTCGGGAGCCATAGCGAGACTGAAGCCAGCCGTTCAGAAGCAGTCCGATGATGCTTCCCAAATTGTTGCCATTGCCGATGGCAGCCTGCCATGATGTCGGGATGTGTTGCTTGCCATTGGCATCTGGCCAACCGAACCTCCTCAAATACGCCTTTTGTCCAAAGAAGTTGTTGACGAGACCAACGTCCATGCCCTCCATGATCAGGGCCATACTCAGGAGCATGCTGTAAATGGCAGCTGGCAGATATCGTGATATGAGCTCCTTGCGGGGCAGCCTCGTCTCTTCTTCGCTGGCGGCCGCGGCAGCTTGGATCAGAGCAATATCGGGAGTGTATGTGCCGTATTCTGCATGATCGACGGACCCGGACCGGGCCTTAGCCAAAGTCTCAGGCAGTCCCTTTTCGTTGTCGGCCATCTTGACACTCTACTTGTCTATGCTGAGGATTTGTGTAAAGATGACAGCAGGAGGTGATATTGGTAGGCAAGGCAGGAAGCTTGCCGGGAAACAGAGGAGCGGAACACGGGGAAGATAAGCACTTGCGTATTTGCAGGTATGAATACCATTGTCCGGACCGGCTCCCCTGGTTGCCAAGATGCCAAGGAGTGTCCTCCAACCACCTGCCCCCAATGCTGGGGTTATTCGCGCAAGTTCAACCCCGAGTCTGGATTGCGTGAACTCAATTTCCCCACACGGTCCCCATGGGGTTTATAACCGTCTCTTTGGGGAATGCGTAAACGAAGCGGGGAAAGAGCACAATATCCTGGGGTATCTTTCGACCGAGGCCATGAAAAAATGGCTAGAGGAGGAGCTCCTTTGAGCCGGTGGATCAGGTGCCTCATTGATCCAGAAGAATTGGCCAGGATCTTGACCTCTCGTTCCAGTCTGTCTTCAATACGGTGTGGTGCAGCTTGCGCGTGTCTGGACGAACCACTGCATGCTTATGCACTGCAACCCAAAAGCTGATTGTACAATGGCGCCCGTGTCTCGCCTGCATGCAGCAGCTTAACAAAAGGATCAGAGTGCAGACGTTGTAGTTCACGAAAAGCGATTCAAGCATCGTACTGTCCTGAGCGACGTCTTTGTGTAGGGAACCTTGAATCCTAGGTCGGTAGTACTCTTCATACATGAGCTCTGCTGCGAATGGTGAGGGTACATACCCAAAGTCATTTGATGTCGGTTCGTCATGAGATTCAGCGAATCCAACTCTGTTTTCTCTCTGTCGGGCCTGCCCAGCGCACTGCCCAGGTTTTCTTGGCTTCTTGGCTCCCAAGCCGCTTGCGCCGCAGCTGCAATTTCATATCGGACTCACTCACTTAATATGGATTAGCCCACGTCTGTCGCTGCCTGATAGCCCGGTATCATTGCAGAAACACCCGAAGGAGTTGTATATTTGGCAAAGTAGCGACATATTCTGCATGCGGCGTCTTCAATCAAGCCTGTGCTGGGTCGGTTAGACACGAAGTGGAATTAAAGACAATGTTGCGCAACAAAGGGCGGGCAACGACTGACTGAACTGTTACTGCTATGCGACTCTATTGGCCTGATGCGCCCTCCGCCTGGGGACTTTTGCTGGGGTAACGCGGGGGGTGGAGGTGACACTTCCGATCCGAAGTTCTGGTTCATTCCCCGCTTTTTCTGACGGTGACTGCAACCTGTTATCCGCACGCTGGCATATGGTCTGAGCAGACCGTGGCACTTTGTCACTTCATTAGGTACCTTACTCGGACACAGCCGATTCAGCAATATCTGTGTCCTCTACATGCGTGACAGCACCGAAGCAGCTGTGACACTTGATTCTGCTCTCACAAAGGTCCTCATTGTTAGTCGGATGTAGACACTAAACCGAGGTACTTACGCAAGTTGGAGATGACGAGGAATCCCTCGGGTTCCATTTGTCAGGTCAAGGCACACCTCGGTCGACTTAGGCCGAAGGCCAAGACAAAACATAGTTTGCCCAGCCTTGGTAAACGCCACCAAATATTCATTCCACCACTCAGGTAGGTTTCCCTAAGGGCTAAGGTATGTGGCACGCACACTCAAGTCTCAATGGAAGAGCATCTGGGGTTTGGGATGTATACCAGAATCGAAAGACAGTGTGTGGTTCCTGCTTCAATCCTGGGAAGTGTGTTCTCTTCGGTAAGCCTGGAATTGTCTACTTCAGAAACCTCTACGCCATCGCACATCCTGCACAGCAAGTCGAAAGGGGCTCGTGGCGCTCGAATTCCCAACGACCCTCGCAATGCATAAGTGCCTCGGTGGCATACTCTAGTAGTAGAATGTCCATAGTTGAACCACCACCCTAAAAACGTGCACGGAAAATTTCATAAGTCAAATTTACTGAGCAATCATATCTACGTATGGAGACAATGTGTAGAGAGCAGCCGAGTTCGTGAATGCGGACTGACAACCGGGGTGATGGGAAATTTTCCTATGGATTGACCATCTAGCTTCTCGACCAGTTAATCTGCAAAAGGACGTCGATCAAGTTCTCTGATGGGGAATCATTAGAGACTCAGGCCTCGACCCGGTCTAAAATGTTTCAAAGCGGCGTAGTGATAGGGGGTAAAAGACGGACCTGCTGAGAAACATCACTCTCTTTACCACCTAATACAAAGTAAGCAAAGAAAATATTTCATGCATGGTTGCTAAGATCGGGCAAATTAATGTTATCTACCGGAGACCCTACTAACATTGCATTCATAATTTCCCATCGGGTGCCTTGGGAACTTGGGGAGCAGCCCGCGTCATCGAAACGAACCAAAGAGAACATGAAGTTGACTCTTTTGGTTAAGGATACTAAGTTCAGACTTGTAATTTTTCGATCCTGGAGATGATTGTGAAGATGCCTAGTGCGATTTATTACAAAGCAAGAATGAAGTAGGAGCCATCTATGCAGAAGGTGGCTTGATTCTTTGCAGTAAGGGGCAGTAACGCACAGCGTTACGGGTAGCGCTGGGACATGACCTACTTACTCAAAATACTATGACTGCTGAATCAAGAACCCGTCAAGAATCAACAAAAACTCAACAAAGGGACCAATCAGTATAGTGTTTGGTCCAGGACTGTGATGCGAATGTTGATTGCTTTCTCTTTAGTACTTAACTAGGTATGCAACCGATTTGTGTTGCAAAGCAGACTTCCAGCATATGCCATGTCGAGACTGTTTCAGATCCAGACACACAACGGAACATATCATTTCGACCCAACTCCAGGCTGAGGGCCAATTCTGTTGTCCCACGGGAAGCCTCCTTCTGATAGTTCACTTCTCTTCTTTCTTGTTGATATGACCACCACGCACGAGTGCTCCGTCGCATTAAGACTGATTAAATGGTAGATACCACGAGCCAGGTGTTTAGTCACCTGCGTGACGACATGGTGAACGTGTTCATTGGTGCCAGTGCGTAGCATGTAGAAGTCCGAATCGCCGTTCACGTTAACGTAGATTATGTCAACCTTGCTAATGTCGATGTACCCTGTGGTCCCGTTCGGCCATCTAATCGGGTCGCAATGGGTCGACAGGTTGACATGGTAGAGCACTGGAGTGGTCATTAGAATCGATTCTGGCGCTGCTTCAAGCTGAGGGTCTTGGTTGTCCCATGGAAAGCCCTCTTCCAATAGTTCGTTCCGCGTCTTCACCGTCGACACAACCATCACGCACGAGTACTCCGTAATATTGAGGCTGATCAGTTGATAAAGACCACGAGTCACGTGCCTATTCACCTGCCGCAAGAGAGGAACGTGTCCCTCGGCGCCGATGCGCAGGCTGTGAAAGTCCGAGTCGCCGATCGTGTTTGTGTTAATGAAGTCAACATTAACTTTGCTAATATTTGCCTGCTCGACAGTTTGATGCGGGGTCGGCCAAGAAGCCGGGTTAGTTGAGGGGTCAACCGAATAATCAGCTGGAGCTGCCATGTTGCGCGGGGGTGGTGACGCAGTCCAAAAAGATGTTTTTTTCGTTGGGGGTTTCCGGAAATGCAGTTTCGAATGTATTGAGGGAGAAAATATGCCGATGTTGCACTTTTATATGCGTCCTTTGTCTTAGTAAGGCAGTGACCTGATGACCATATTGGAGTTTTGGTCATAGTTGACTTGGTCTCGCGAGTCTTGACTGGTCAGCCGTACATGGATTGGTTGTTGGACGAGACTTTTTGTAGGCCTGTCTCATTCAGTGGCTTCGACACACTATTTTGATTTCTAGATAGAGCGAGAGAGCGCCGCAAAAGCCGAAAGGATAGGATCCGGCGATATTCTACGAAGGTCATAGTCTATTCACTACCTCATCCATTCATTCTCAGCTTCAGTTTAATTGCCATGGTATATACGTCAGCATGCGATCGGACCTTTGGTGGTAAGGGCCAATATCGCGTCTGTGACTTCTGCGTATGGAGAAGGAAAGAGGACGAAGTAGTAGAAGCCCAAAAGGACCGCTAGGTAAAGGTTTTGAGTGGAATGGCCGCTTGTTTGGTCCTGACTGTCTTCTATATCCACCCCTTGTACCGAGTGCTCGAAATTCAACAGATAGAATGTGGGAGCCCAGAGTGCTACGCTACTGACAATAGGTGATGAGTGCCCCCCTCTTCCCAAGTTTATGAACTGCGGCTAGTGTCACTGCGAGTGCCAGTATCATGGAATATCAAATGATGCGAGAATGCGGGCAGCCGAAACTGGCAGCTGCTTAATGCCAGTGGTGAGAGTATGGGTGGTATGAAATACGGCCAGGAAGTCTGTGCCGGTGGGAGGCTGGAGTGCTTGCACCTAGATCATCGCTGAAATCAGGAAATACAAGAGGACGGACGCCGAGTCCAGCTCCCAATTTCATATTTCCTGGAATTTAGGTGCGGAGGAGACCGGGAAATTCTGTTCCATTACTTGTACATTTGGATCGTATCTGCTTAATAAGACTGGTATTTGAACCCCAAATATTCTCTCGTATTGAAAGATTCTTTATTTGGCGTCAATGTGTCAAGTTGATCGGTTCTAAGTTGGCAGACCAAACTTGCATCCACTCGGTGCCTGTTATCGCGAGACATAGCCTCGCAAATCACATTCGTGCAAAGCTAACCGAACTAAATTCTCTGCTGAGTATGATAAAGGAGGCTCCGAAGGTCTCGCGAGCTAGGACATAATGGTCGTTACAACGGCCCGTCGGAACGAGCAATGGCCTACTCTCGAGATAGAAACGGAAGGTCGAATTGCTGTTGGTGGTTACTCCTAACTTAAGGAGGACGTATCTCCACAATTGTTTGCCGAGAATTCCACGATCTCAGAGTATTGAAAGCGGTGCCGAAACGTTCTTCCTTATTGACTTATGGTCAAATCGCACTGGAAGGTCAGAGTTGGACAGTGCCAACAGAACTTGAGAGATAAGTCTGTCATATTCATCCACCTGAATTCGGGACGTCTAGACACTCGTGGCCTGTCGTACCTTGTGTGGGAAATCTGTATATGCTAGGTACAGATCAATATTCCTTCCATACCTAACTATAATCCCTGCAGGTGTGTTAAGACACCTCACTTGATTCTAACAAACTCTTTTCAGAGCAAGGCTTGGGGCCATCGATGTATACAGCTCTTTTTACGAACAATCGCAATTAGATAAGGACCGAAAACAAAAATTGAAAAACTATAAAGGCTTAACTTCTTCCTCTCTTTAGCGCATAAGAAATAGCGCAATCACAATCATCTCTCGTTTCTAGAGTCATACCCATCTTCTCCCAAACAATTACTACACCGTAATCCTGATAGGATCCTTCATTCAAACAACTTAAGTATTCTTCCTGCCAAGGTAGCCGCCAGTTTTCGTTCCATCCAGTCAATTCCAAAATTTCTGACTCTCATAGCGCTCTTTATCTTCCTGACCACCAACATGGTTAAGACCACTTCGGTTCCTCCAGTCACCAACGAGACCCAAACACCAACCTTGGTGGTAGCCCTCATTTTTGTTTGCAGTGAGAAGAGCCTTCGAAATAAATGTGTGGCGGATCCGTAGGTACACCAACACTGGCGACATTCAACATGATGTTCTAGGCGACCATTGCAGGGATAAGACAAGGTGCTCCTGTGAGCTTCCTTGCAGTAATCCAAGGATCTGTTGAGGTCGCACGATTGAGCTTTAAGTTTCGGGATACTGACTTGCGTTTTCGGAGGTGGGAGGAGAGACGTCAAATACTTATGTATCAACGAGATCAGTGAAACCCAAAGCCTGCATCAATCATTACAATTCTGCACCTAAAGATGCTGGTTCTCAATTGATACATCTGCAATCAGACAACGGATGGCCATATCAGATAAATCCTCTATCTATCCCCAGAATCGTTGGAGAGAATAAAGAAGGACACGCAGCCTCAAAGAGAAGACGGATCGCATGTATCGACCAACAACGCTCTCTCAGCTTTGATCTGGCGGAGCATAATGGCAGCACCGTTCGATGCGGCCCAGCTGGACGAGAGCGAGAAATATGTCTTGAATATTGCCATCGACGGCCGAACACGAATTCGGCCATCGGTCCACCCGGAAGCCATGGGCAGCAGGTTCCTCAGCTTCATCCAGGTAGAGCACCCCATCAAGGAGATTCTCGAGAGCGACAACCTCACAGCCTTGTCTTTGCTGATCCGCAGAGCCATTATTGCAATAGATAAGAAAGTCAGAGGTTCCTTCATCAATGTTGTCATTAAGCTTGTGAACAACAAGAATGATCTTGGCGCACTCATTTCAACATTATTCTTAGATGCGCGCCTGGCCAGAAGTACGCACATACATATTGGGAAACGTTCAAGATGACGATCTAGAGTGGGGCCATGCTCTGGGAGGCAAAATTGCGGCTGTTCGCTGATGTAGCTGCGGCATTTTGAATGGCATGCATATTATGTACCCTTAATATCCTGATGGGGCCGCGAAATGCTGATTGATACCCCCTACAAAAGTTATTTGCAGAAGCTTTAGAATGACTCGATCTGAACTAGATATGCGCAACGTCGATAAAGTGACAGACTGATGTTAATGGGTTAGAATTCAAGAAATGGCTGTCGTCGAATCCAAACCCGTACTGATCGAGCACTATTATAAATGTGTTATGTTGGTGAATGGATGGGACAATTGTAAAAAGTAGCTGGACTCGCGGCTTGGAGTTTACAAGGAGAAAACCTATATGAGCGACTCAACGGCATCAAGCCGACTCGAAATCCCTAAAAGACCTTGCTACGAAAGAACAAACACGACGGCTATTTGTACGCTCAGAGAAAAAGCGATATCAGAATTCAAAACGGTGTTGCAGAGGGGTAAGTCTGGCCATGCTAATTTTGGTACTAATGATAAAGGGAAGAGTCGATAGCATGACTATTCCCAGAATACACTATTGAAGTAGCTTTAGCAAGAACGTCTTAGTACTTCACAACAAATGAAAGATGAGGCTACACTTTATTTGAATTGTTCGTGGAAGCTATGAACGACATATGGTTCAGCTTACGTCATCCATCCCAAGAAATAAATTCTAGGCCTAGATTGATAAGCTAACATGATACTGTCTTCTATGATCAATACCACAACCGCTCCTTAGATTATTAATTATGAGAATATAAAGCCGTGATTTGGTATATGCCTAGTAAAGGCAAGGTGGATTAGATTCAACTCGTCGGGGAGGGTTGAGGGGTTCTGTAGGGTCACCTCGGCCTTGCTTGCTATTGCCGTCGCGCGCGGAAGTTTCGATCCTTGCTAAGGGACCGGACGAATGAAACCCTTAACTAGGTTTGCTATCAAGTGAGTTGGAATACTAGACACTGCTGTTGTGATGTTATACGTCTTCGTGCATATATGTTCCTGGTTTAATTACTATATGTTAACGCGGATAAGGAGTCCACATCCCTGGCCGTTTTCTTCGTCTAGCAGAGAAGTTAAGACAAGCGAACATTATGTTAGCAAGCAAGGGGGCGGCGGCCTTGATATACCTGACTCGCAGAAGGCAATTGAAGGGTGTGTGTGCAAGTGTGGTGAAAGTGACATGCACAGATGCGAACACAATGAATGCAGACTGAGCATCTTTAGGGCACTTGGGGCGTAGAGGTCGGGACATATTGTTTCGTCTGGTGTCGTGATGTATTGGAATATTGAATGATTTCGACTATGAAGTGCATATAACGCAATAGCGTTCAAGTTGTTCCCACTAACAAAGAGTTGATATGCGCTTGTTCGCTGGCTTCAAGATATGGATGCATCGGAATACTGATCACTTCGCGACAAGCGCTCTCGGCTGCAGGGCAGTGACCTTTCGCGACCGGAAAGTTCCGATAGGCAGCCTGCTGATGGACAGGAATGGGATAGTAAACGACGGATTCAATGCTGTTCTGATGCAGCCGCGCTCGAATATGCGACCGTTTCACGTCAGTCGTTCGAATCGTGTAAGCTGCCCACGCCGAGACGGTCCCGTCGAGTGGCAGAGCGGCTGGCCGACAGAGAGTTGAATTCGACCCATTGTTGTCGTCGACTTCTTTTAGGAGCAGGCTGGTATAACGAGACGCTACCACTTGTCTCAAAGCTATCTCGTCAGCTAGGATATCGAGCTTGCAAAGGAGAATCGCTGCCTGTATGGTGTCGAGTCGGCTATTGATTCCTATGTGGACATTTTCGTATTTCTCTTTCTCGTCTCGCCTATAGAGGCGCAAAGACCGGAGCATAGAAGCAGTCTTCGGGTTGTTGGTTAATACCGCTCCACCGTCTCCGTAGCAGCCCAAGGGCTTGGAAGGGAAGAAACTGGTCGTGGTAATATCGGCCAATGTGCCAACTTTCGCCCCGTTAACACTTGCTCCAAAGCTCTGGGCAGCGCCGGCGATAATCCATAGACACTCGTCTTCTAACTCAGCCATGGCAGAACGGATACCGTTGTAATTTGCGGGTGTCCCGAACAAATCCACAGCAATGACACCGACAGGCCTAAGACCGGCTTTTCGTGCAGTGGCAACACCTGCGCCAATTTGAGCCGGATTGATGGTCAATGTCTGTGATTCCACATCCACGATTACTGGAACAGGGCCAAGCAAAACCACTGGCTCCACAGAAGCTATGAAGGTTAGTGCTGGCACGAGAACTGCATCTCCAGGACCAACTCCAAGGGCTAACATTGCCAATGTCAAGGCGTCGGTGCCGCTTGCACAGGTGACTGCGTTCGTAGCTTCTTTCAAAGCACATAGTCTTTCTTCGAGTTCGTACACCTCGGGTCCCATGATGAATTTCATGTGATTAAAGACTTGGGACATCCTCCGTTCAAGGGGCTGTTGGATTCGGCGCATCTGAGACTGGAGATCAATGATAGAGATTTTAACAATCTTTTCTGGTAATGTCGGACGTGGGATTTCATTGAGGACCTCTGCCTTCGGATATAGATGTAATCCGGCAGTCAAGGCGCTCGGTTATCGAAAGGATACCCGCATTCATAACTAATTTTCAACGGCTTCGAATAAGTATGCCAACAACGGCTATGCCCTCGGCTAAATTAGTCTTTAGGACTTTGCCAGTACTAACGCACTTAATAAAGTACTAGTATTTAATAGCGAGCGGCTCGAACTTCTCTAGAGCTATAACCTCTATTCGGCCGTTTAGTAGCGCTTATACCTATTTAAATTAATTAAATAAATAAGTCAAATAAATAGTTAAATATAAGAATTTTAATAAGTTAAATAATTAAATATTATAAGGCCCTATACTTAATATATTTAATTAAATATAAGGTTACCTAAAAAAAAGAAAATCCGGGGCCGGGCTAATTAAAAATTAATATTCTTAACTATATTTTATAAGAGTTTATAATTAAGAATATAAATACCTAGAGCGGGATTTGAACTTACGACTCTTTATTTATAATTATAAGTTCGGTATTATATTACTTAACTACCCCCCGACGGAGCAATCTATTAGGGCCGTACCGTATATTACGTATTAGAGAAAACTAAGTATAATACGCTCTATACCTAACTACTAACTAAAACTCCTAACCTTTTATTACCCGCTTATAGGGCGAGCTTTACCTACTTTAATATACATAAGACCTCTTAATATTAGCTTACGTAAGTAACTAGGTCTAATATAATCTATTTTTTTATATAAATATTATTATTACTTAGGGGGTCTTATAAAAGCTATTTAAAACGCCGGCTTATTACCCTAACTTTATATACTTTTAGCCTATTTATTATAACTATTATAACTAGGTTAGTATTAATATATTAAATCTTAGTATTTATACTAGCCTAGCTATTTATAGTACTTATAATATCGCTTAGCTAAATTCTATATTATTAAAAAGTACTTTATTACTTCTTAAGTATACTTATATTAATTATAATAGTTATAGCGTTAAGCTAGCTAAGGGTACTTAGTTTAAGAGGGGTAAACTTATTAACGGGCATCTTTAGTTTACTAATTACTAACTATATACTAAGAGTAGAGTAGTAGTTTATATATTAATAAGTTTATTTAATAGATTTATTTAGTAAATTTATTTAGTAAATTTATTTAGTAGATTTATTTAGTAAATTTATTTAGTTTAAATAGAGAGTAGTTTTAAGTAATATTAAAAGCGATAAGGATAAAAAGAATTTTTACGAGCTTTAAATAGTAAATATTAGCTTATTTAGCCCTTTTTTTTAAAAACCTTTACGTTATTATTAAAGTTTAGAACCTCTATAGTTAAAAAAGGCTACCTCTAACTATTATAACTAACTATTACGGCTAACTATTATAGCTAATTATTACGGCCGACCTCTACTATTAACCTTTTTAACTAGCGCTACTATATAAGTATATTGCTTAGCTTATTATTAGTAAATAGCCGAAGAGAGTAGTTTACTTATCCCGAATTAAATAGCGGTTTTCGTATTAAAATTATTATATTACGTTAAGCGCGTACTTAGGATATATTATATATATTATATAATTAAAAAGTGTACTATATTATATAATTTTTTTTAAAAACGTAATCCCGTTAAGGTCGATCTTTTATACTTATAAAGCTAAAAAAAAAACCACTATATACTACTTAACTAAATAGATTATTAATAATTATTATAAAAAAAAAAAGCCTAAGTATTATAGAGCTCTAGATTTAATATTTTATTATATTTAAGAATTTAAAAAACCTTTAGTACCCCCTTTTTTTAATATTAATAAAACTAATAAAGTTACGTATTATTATTTCTAACCCTTTACGACTACTATAATTATTATTAAAATTAATTAAATTATATATTAATTAATTTATTATATTATAATTAATTAATTAGTAATAAGTCGTACGATTTTTAGTACGTAGCCGCTATTTTAAATTATTTTATAATTATAAACCTTAATTAACGTTAGTTTTATATTATTAACTAATTTTAATAATTATAATAACCTCTTTACCCTTTTAAAAGTAATTTAAAAAAAGAGGACTTTTATTAATAATAATTTAATATTATAAAAGGGTATTAGGCTAAAGAAGTTATAAATTTATTTAGAGAGGGTCTTTATTTAAAAAATTTATAATAAAAATATTCAAAATAAAGTCTTTTAGTTTTATTATTATTATAATAAAATAAGTATTATTATTTATTTTAAAATAGTAATTATAAGCTTAGTAACGGCTTATTTAAAATTAAAATACTAAGTAATAAATCTAAGTTTTAATAAGTCGTTATATTTATTAAAATCCTCTAAGTACGACTTTATATTAAAAAAATAGAAATTTATTTTTAATATTATTATAAAGGGCTAAGTAACGAGAATTAAAGAATTAATAATTAAGTATATTATTAATAATAATAATATAATAGATTCGGGATACGACTAGTAATAGGATACTAA